CTTTGGCATGTGACGTGTAAAATAGAGGAGGATTGGTCAATTGGAGTCCAGCAATTTGTGATTTTCTTGAGATCTCATTGGATATGAAAATCGTAGGACCAGCTCCCTACGATTTCGTCAATTCACAAATGAATTGCGAAATTTTATGTTTGCTACAAATTCGCATATAGCTTGGAAAATAATTGAGGTTGAGGATTTCGAAATGGTGAAATCGTAGGGGTATGCGCCTACGATTGCATACAAAAGTCAAGTTCTGGCCTACGAATTCCGTAGAATGAGAGATATTTGTACTTCGAAGTATTATTATTAGATTTTGACAGTGAAATGATCATACCAGGTACTACAGGAAAGCAATACTACACCATTTTTCGTCTAAGGTCAGGTTATTTTCGGTATATTTCGTCCGACGCACAACTGATTCACGCCATGTGCGTTATGTTCGCCAACCATTCAATATATTTCGTCCAGACCCTACATGGTTATTTCGACTAATGTCCAGTATATGTCACCCCACAGCCGGTATATTTCACACATTGTTCAGTATACTTCAAATCATGTTTCAATAAATCGACAAAGTAATCGACGGAACGAAGTAGCCAATGAAATTTTCGAAATTTTTTTTCGATAAATCAAATTTCAGGCGTATCCGGTGCATTACCAAGCTTCTCCATTTCACAGAGTTCAACATTGTATCGGACAGACAGTGAGTATATTTAGTTTAAGTAAAATGACGCTCGACGACTTCAGGTGGATTTGACGTCGTTCGTCGAATCTACCGAAAATACCAAAGTTAGCTTGAAAGCACAATATCTATTTGAAATATATTGAACATGTGAAATATACCGGTTGTGGGGTGACATATACTGGACTTTAGTCGAAATATAATGCAACGAAGTAGGGTCTGAACGAAATATATCGAATGGTTGGCGAATACAGTATAACGCACATGGCGTGTATCTGTTGTGCGTCGGACGAAATATACCGGAAATAACCTGAACTTTAACGAAAAATGGTGTAGTATTCCCTTGATCAGATAGGCTGGTTAACAACTTGTTTGACCCATAAATAGTTCAATAATTGCTTCATACCAGAGATATCCTACAGTAGTAGGTATTACTAGATTTAGCCCCGTCCCTTCTTCTGCAGAGGGAGTTTGGATTGGCAGAAAGTAGGCATTACGTGATTTTATTGGCTTAAAAACAGGCTGTTCGTTACCATAGTACATGCTAATTAATCCATTCTGCATCGGGCAAAAACAGGTATGCTAAATGTTGTATAGTATAGTTTGTACAATAATTAAATGCATTTTGGTGAAATGCCTCCAAAGTCCAAATTTGGGTTAGAAATTGGAGAATAGTCCAAGTGGAGGATTTCAAAATGGCCTAATCGCAAAGTTCTACGATTGCATACAAAAGTCAAGTCTGGCCTACAAATTCCGTAGAATTATGCGAGCATTTCACACTCAAATTGTACTAATCAAGGGAATTCGTGCCAGCTTTCGCAAACTGGTTACTTACTACTCGTTGGCATGACTGTGCCCATGGGGTTGCCTGTGCTGATGGCGGCGGTGGCAGGGATAAGTCTCGTCCACACTGTCATGGGCGATGTCTTGCCCTCCATACCATTGTGTGTCAATGCCACGTTCGTCTCGCCGTGCTCAACCAACAGCAGAAGCCTCGCATCAGCCGTGGAACCAGCCGTAGCAGCACATTTAATCGGGTCCAATTCTTCCACGGCATTCCCACCTGTCGGAGAACCTGTAGCCACTGCGAAGATGATGCAGCCACGAGATCATGACTGGACCAACACATCCAAGTTTTACCTCGGGTCGTCGATTTGGCTCGGGTGCATGTTCCTTGGCGTGGTGTTTGCCGTGAAAATGAGGCAGCTTCCGCCGTCCGAGCAGCCATCGCTGTACTACTCTCATGCTCGTTCCATCTCCAACAACCAGTCGAGCCAAGTCATCCAGGACAGCAAAGATTACAACGACCAGCTGCATCCGTCGACCACGTTCATGTCGCCCAATCCGTACATCTTTCTCACCAAGCACAGCAACGTGCGAAGCAGCACGAGCAGCCAGAGCGTCGTGCCGGCTAGCCTGCGGAACTTGGCGAGTTTGGCCAGCACCACCACCTCCAACCAACATCACCTAAACCACCACCATCCAAGTCTCATCTTTTTGTCCTCAGCTACATCGTCCATGACATCGTTGGGGGACCACCGCCCATCGCGCCCCGCCGACATGCATGTGCCGCGCTTTGTGTACCGAGAGAGCGATGACATCTCGACGATGTCAAGTGGAGCGGCGATGATGACCACCACCGGTGGCACGCGGTGGCACACTGAACTGCAAGATCTGAGCGAAGACATGTGCTTTGAGAGCATGCGCACGCGGGTTTCCAACTTGACCGTGCTGGATATGGACCCTAATGATCCAAACCAACTAGATGAAGGCAAAGTGGCCGTGGTCGTGTGAGCGAAGCAGGGTGGCTGTGTTGGTTACTTTCCACTTTCGGTCCAAATTTGTATATTTAAGCCATAACTACTATCGCAACCCCTAACCAGAGTGCCAAGAGATCTCGTTTGTGATGGTCATCCTACCTTTTTTATTATCACGAACAAGTATCAATAGTACTTGTTCAAGTAGTATTGTCCAGTTGTTACCCAAAGTTTGGACTTTTGGGCTGATTCGCCAAATCCGTCGATCGATTCGTTGTACTTACGCTTGTAAGTGCTTATGTAAAAATCGTCCAATGTCACACTAATTTCATTCACACACTAATTCAATGTTGAAATGATCCAAGAGTGGATTTGATTAGCCACTTGATTCGTGTTCTCGGTTTTGATTGGCCGTATATCGATTGTCTTCCAATTTGGTGCTGCTCATTCGAATGAACACCCCAATTTCGAATCGACTGGGCAATACTAGTATTGATTTACCTGAAAAACTTTATTAGTATACATAGGCTGCACGAGCTATACTACTACTGTAGTACGTAGAAGAGGCGAGATATGTAGTGTGCGTCGCGTTCACACTCGAGGGGGGACTCCCGTGTTTACCGGGTAACGTTATGGGCATACCGGTGGTCACTATTTGGGGCCCTTCGATGGAGGGGGGGTCCTGTACATTCAAAATTAAGATTAGAATTAGGGTTCCTGAACTCAATATTGCTACAGAGGAGAATAAATACGGTTTGGTCGTAGGATTTCACAATCAATGGGTGTTGATGGAAAGTGAACTGTGATACTTAACATAGGCTGAAAACACTTTCGGGCCACTTGATTACCTCTAAACGAAGTTGAAGGTGATTGGTTAAAAAGATTAGTAGTGGTATGCAAGTTCGTATTCAAGTTAACCCTGGGCTGGGAATAGCAACACAAGGGGGTCCGGCGTTACAGGGCTACTGGTTCTATTGAAGGAAAATGATAACGGATCAGTATTATTCGTAGATTAAGCGCGTCTGGTTATGAATCTGAGCGGCATATCGCATGTCTAAAGATTGCATGGTTCCCTTCAGCAACTCCGACTTTTAACAGACCAAGGCTTACTGTAGTACAACATCCTACTCCCTGATCTGTGGATGGTATTCTCAAAGCACTGAATCGAGGGCGGGGCAGAAAGTGAGTATGTGGCTGCACCAAGGTCCGTTTTGAAGGTTGATAGTGCGAAGGGAAGGGTTTCGGGGCTTCGGGGGAACAACGGATAACATCGATTGCGAAGGGTCACTTTTTGGTGAAGGTTAGCTGATAACGTTATCTATAACTCGTTGCACTTACTATCATATCTTGGCGATGATAAGAGGTTTCTTACCTCCCTTTGGGCGGGCCGTGAAGACGAAACAGTCAGTACACACCACCGTTCATTGGTCTGTCTGTATAAGGTGGTTTAGTAGCAATCAGAATTCAGAAGCAGGCTTGTTCCGAGACAAACACCGAAAAACGTTCAATAAATCTGAATACCGACCAGCCATATCTGAAAACCGTTCAAACCCACGGAATGCATGTCATTCTACTCAGTTTTTGCACAAATATATTACGCCGGAGTAAACGACAGCTGTGGCGAGAGTTGCCTTTGCAGCAAAACTTCAAGGTTGGCTCAGGTTTTGCACAGGCCGGGCAAGCTATCATCGGTGAAGTCGGACAAATAGTGGGATAATCACTTCTTGACAGAATTTTAATCGGACAAGCAGTGGGATAATTTGCAATAAGAGCAGGCAACAGTGGTCCGAACGAAAAAAGTAATACTACTGTATAGTCGTGCGACAACTTGTATGTCACGCATGATATGCGCAAGATGTTGAGATGTCACTGGACATGTGGTACTGGTGCTAATAGGCTGAAAACAGGAAAATATTGATTTTGGTTTAATTGTATTGGTTAAAATGGTGGTTTTCTACCA